ATTGGTTTAGGGAACACCTTAATCCAGTATATCTTCATTTCAACTTGATTACATCTGCAAAGACCCTATTTCCAAACAAGGTCATATTCACAGGTTCTGGAAGCACAGGAATTTTGGTCAGGGCAGATTTGGGCAGTATTTTCCCCAGTACAATACCTATGAGAAATCACAGTGCTTCCACTATTGTTTCCATTGGTGATTGGCCAATTCAAATAATAATAATTGCTCAAACTAAGTGAGAGGAAAAAGAGAGAACTCCCTTTATTATTGAATTTGTGGTGGTACTGGGGTTTGAACTCAGGGCCTCACACTAAAGTTGAGTCACAGTGTTTGCTCCAGAACACACTGAATGTTTTCAGAGGGAGTTCACTTCCAGCCTGATCAGCCCCATAAGAGAGGTTTATCAACAGGGGATCCTCAAAGGCTGCAAAATCAGGGTGGCAGAGATTCAAAAGGGAAAAAGAGGCTGAGGTATCAGAGGGACTATCCAGTTATAATCTCATAGGTCTTTCTCACCTCTCCTCCACTTCTCTGACAGCTGTCTTTCTCTTGGCTTGGCATTCTGGGCCTTACTCATCTTTATCCTCCCGGTCCCCCCTCCCTTCTCCCTCCTCCTCCTCCTTCTTTTTTTTTTTTGTCCTTTGAGGTACTGTTAATTGAAATCAGGGCTTGTAGTTTGCTAGGCAAATGCTCTAATCTTGGAGCCACACCTCCAGCCAGTCTTTTAACTTTCTTAGGGGTTTTTGTTTTGTTTTGTTGGGGGAGGGGGTTTGAACTCAGGGCTTTATGCTTGCAAAGCAGGTGCTCTACCACTTGAGCCATACCTCCAGCCCATTTTGCTCTGGTTATTTTGGAGATGCAGTCTTGTGAACTATCTGCCCAGGCGAACCTCAAACTGTGATTCTCCTAATCTCAGTCTCTCAAGTAGATGGGATTACAGGTGTGGATCACCAGTGTCTGGCTTTTAGTTTGTTTTTAAGGTAGGGTCTCGCACTTTTGCCAGGGTCAGCCTCAAACAAATGTCCTTCTACCTCCGCCTCCCCAGCACAAGCCATCACACCTGTCTCATCTTTATATCTTGATGAGCCTCAAACTTGTGTCTTCCATTCAAATTACTTTTTAAAGCTTTGATGTCACATTTCGAACTCTCTGTTGGGTGCTTCATTTTTGGATGGCCCCATCACCTCAATTTCGATCTCATTGTGCTCCAAACCACAATCAGTTCCTTCTCCTAACTTCCCTCTTCCCTATTTTTTTTTTTTTCCTCTCTCTCTATGTGGGGGAGAGGGGGCTGGGGCTTTGCACACAACAGTCAAATGCTCTATTGTTGAGCTACATTCCCAGTTCTGACTTCCCTATTTTGAAGACATAAGAGGATATTTGCTTTTCAAGGATCCCCTTAGAAATCTCATACCTGCAATCCTAGTTACTCAGGAGGCAGAGATCAGGAGGATTGCAGTTTGAGGCCAGCCCTGGCAAAAAGCAAGGCCCTATCTCAAAAATACACAACACAAAAAAAAGGGCTGGTAGAGTGTCTCAAGTGGTAGAGCACCTGCCTAGCAAGCATGAGGCCCTGAGTTCAAACCCCAGTAACACACACACACACACACACACACACACACACACACACACAAAGGCACCATAGTGCCTAATGAGGAGCAATGCAGGGTGTGTATATGCAACAGATTTATAGACTCACAGTCTCTGCCCACCATAGGCCATGGATTTGGGGACCAATCAGAGGCTCGAGTCTTTGCCTTCCCTTTCCCTTCCTCCTGTGCCTATCTTGGTCTCTTCAAACCCTGATTCTCTTTCCCTGATAATTCACAGCCCCTTGAGGTGTTCATGTATGCACCCCAGTTTTTTTGTACTCCTTCTGGGAAGATTTCTTATTTTACCTATTCCTTCTGTTCATCACCTTTCAACTCTCTGTATTCCAGGTGTGGCTTGTTACAGGTTGAAATAATACTGATCATTTACTGAGCAGGTACTACTGCTCACGACAACCCAATGAAGCAGGTACTATTATTCATACATGTTCTAGAGATTAGGAAAGTGGGAGTCGAATGAGGTTAATCACTTGCCCAAAGTCACAGAGCTAGAAAAATGCAGAACCAAGATTTGGAACTGAGATCTGCTGGGTGTGGGTGACCTCTTAGCCATACTGTTTCCCACAAGTTTAAAGGCAATCTAATATTTATGGGGCACCTACTGGCCCCTGGCACTGAGCCTAATCGTTTAATAACACATCTGATTAGAGACTTTATAAACATATTTACATTTCCTTGCCAAGAGAAAGGTAACATTAATAGAGTTGATCCCTCTGGCGGGACAGCAGTTCTAAATAAACAGACATTAGCAAAAGCTGCCTACTGAGTTTACAGTAGAAATGGCCACACAATAAGGAACTTTAGGTAACACATTTTGACACCTTTCTTTTCCCTTCCCCAGTCACCCAATCACTAATCATCTTCCAACTGGTTATCTATCCTTAGAAAGGAACATCTCTGTAACTTACTCCTATTGCTTTCCAGATCAATAAAGACATTCTCATCCTCCCTTCTCTTCCTTCTAAAGTGAAGACTTAAGGAGCACTTTAGACCAATTCAAGCACACTTGTCTCAGTTGCTCCAAAATAACTGCTATTAGAGGCAGGAATTAAGTACATGCCTTAACCTTTTATAGTCTAACAGAAGATGACCTTGGTTTCTTATATCAAGTATGGCTTCTCTGCTGCCCCTTATTGTCTGCATGCCGAGTTGGGTGTGTAGTCCCCTTAGGTGTACTGTACAGAGGCAAACCTCATTTGTAGTAATTGTTCTCTGAAATCCAGGAATAAACTGGCTATTTTCAGACAAAGACAGAGGTAGGAGTCTGTAGAAATGAGCTGAGAAAGAGCTTAAAATACTTCACATTCCAGAAACACCCTCCCTCCCCCCACAGGGGATGGCTTTATTCCCATTCATTTCTCAACAGAGTTGACTCAAAGACGCTGCAGCTTGGAGGCCAGCAGCTGGTACCAACCATGTGGGCTTAAACAAATGGCTTCAATGTCTGGGCTCTAGTGTGCTTATCTGTAAAATGGGGCTGACACCACCCCCTGCTGTCCAGGTTATTATAAGTATAAGATAGGCAAAACTGCTAGCTTTAGTGCCTGGACCTATAGGTCCCTATCATTTTATAGAATGCTCTTGAATCCTTTCAAGGTCCAGGAAAGGGAGAAAAATCCTACATTAGTCTCTTGACAAATGTCCTCAAAAAAGTAGGACAGGGTATATAGTTCAGTAGTAGAGCACTTGCTTAGCATGCATGAGGCCCTGGGTTCAGTTTCTGACATACCCTCTTCCCCAAAAAAAGATAGAAATTGGGAGTTTTAAGAAAAGTATTATAGTAAACCACGTCTGTTTTTTATCAAACATCTACTTAGGTTCTGGGTTTGTGATCTAGGAGCAGTGGGGGAGTCAAGTGGAACATTTACCTGACAAGAGATTGAACTTGGTATTCTGATTTTACTATGTGACTTTGAGCAAGAAAATTCTGTGGGTACAAGTACCATATGGCAGATACTGCTTGCTTGCCAGGTTGTGGTGAGGGCACAAGAGGGTCACCTGGTTGAGGTGACAAATTAAGAGTAGCTTTTTGGCCCCTACTAAGGCTCCATTAGTTCAGGAAGGCAATACCAACCCAGACCCCAGCTGTAAGAATTAGTGGAGGGGCCAAGCAGCCTTTCTTCACCGTGATGCTCCTGGCCTTTCTGAACGGCAACTTTTCAGTCTCAGTGGGGGCCTCTCAGGAGCAAGATTAGCTAACCCAGTACCTAAATGCTGCAGAGTGGCGGGCTGGATTGTCATGGAACATTTGGTCTACCTCATCCCAATTAGTGGCAGACCCAATGGCCCCAAAGACAGACAGTTCTTATAAACAGCTTAAGTGGTGGAATCCCATGTTTACTTTTTCCACACACCCCATGCTAATCAAGCAAACTGATCATTATGACATAGTGGTTAAGACCTCCAGCTCTGAAGATAGGCAGAACTGGTTTCAAATCACTCACTCACTTACTAGTTGTGTGACCACGGGTAGTTCTGTTTACCTATGCAGCCACAGTTTCCTCATCTGGAGCCCCGGCATACAGTTGGAATAGCATAATGTGAAAGAATGAGCAGAGTGTTTAGGAAACTCTCCCACCTTTCGTTTACAGCAAGTACATGGGAAAATTATGGCCAGGAAAGAAAGCTTTAATTTTACTTTCATTAAGAAAGAAAGAAAATGGAACATTATAGCAAAAAATTCTGGAAGAATTATTTTTTCCTTTTTTTTTTTTTTTGCAGTACTGGGGTTAGACCTTTAGAACTCAGGGCTTTGCCCTTACTAAGTAAGCGCTCTACCACTTGAACCACTCTGCCAGCCCTTTTTTATGTTGGATATTTTCAAGATAGGGTCTCACGAACTATTGGCCTGGGCTTGCTTTGAACTGCAGTCTTCCTGATTTCTGCTTCTTAGTAGTTAGGATTACAGGCATAAGCCACAGGCACCCTGCTTCTGAGAGAATTTTTAATAAGACACCTTGCAAAAGATCATCATACCACTAAAATCAGTCATCATAAAGAATAAAGGTCTTTATAATAAAGTTTAGAAAGCAGTTCAAACTCCACTGCTTCATTTAATCCCTGCAAAAAACCTAGGGAAATAACATTTATCCCCATTTTACAGCTAAGGAAACTAAGGCTCAGAAAAGGTCACAGAAGTGGAACTGGGCTTTCAAGCCTTCTAAAGCACACATTCAGCACTCTTCGAAATTCACAGGAGAATTTTTCTCCGAGCACTGAGCCAACATTGTTTAGACATGTCTGAAATGGCATTTCAGGAACCCAGAGTGGAATGACCAGGTTAACAACAATATTAGAGAAAGGCAGCCATCGGATCACTTGTGGCTACCCTAAAATAGTTTTCCTTGGTTCCAGAGGACTGGGATGGCATACACCCCCACTCTGACATAGTTGAGAAATTTTTTATTAGAAGATGTCCCAGAAGGCAACAGTTTAAAATCAGGCAGGCAATAATCACAACTAAATACAAAATTTCAGGTATATTGCCTTTCAAAATAAATCAGACCCTTGCAACAGAATTGCCCAAGAGGTTTTTTTCTTTTTTTCCTCGTACAAAAACAGTTAACACCACTTTGCAAAAGGCATACAAAAATACGGTATAAAAAAAAAAAAAAAAAAAAAAAAAGACTCCCCCAGCATAATACCCAGCAGCAGCTTATAAAACACAAACTATTCAGGTGAGGCATCAATCAGTAACCTGTTTCTCACTCATCCTCCTAAGACAGTTCCAAAAGTCAGCTGGCTCCTGAAAACCCTGCTCCAGAAAAGCAGCTATTTTTGAAATTACCACTGCCTAATTCTCTGAGGCTAGGAAGCAACCTCAGAAAGAGACCACTATGGACAGTAGGTTAGGAAGTAGCAGCTGGTTTTTCAGAGCCACAAATAGTGCTTACTGCCCAGACCCTCCCCTACTTCCCAACTCAGAACCAGCAGGACCTGCTGTCCTGGGCACAGTTCTGGAAGGGCTGTACTTCTTCCAGGCCAGCGTTAGGGGTTCCTGAGGTTGCCCACATGAAACTTGCTAGATTGGGTGGCTTTCCCAGATTGGAGACTGCACCTGGATTCCCCTTGAAGCTGCAGAGTCCAGCTGGGGTGAAATCTATCATGGACGGCTAAGCAGAGTTCCTGGAGGTGCCTTTACAACCCACCAGGAAGCAAGTCCACCTTCCTGGAGCATTGACTGAGTCCCAACAGCTCTCCCCAGAACCTTACTAAGGCCCAGGTTCTGAAAAAGAGTGCTGACTCATGTCAGGAGGGCAGAGAGTCATGCTGGTGGCTGCAAAGCTGGCAAGCTCCCTGGGAGTCACAGGAGAAGGACAAGTTTGCATGGTTCCAGTAGAACTTCAAACATTCAAGGACTGAGATAACAGGCAGGTGGGAAAGAGGAAGTGGTACAGGGCTTCCTTCTGAGGTGTCTTACACCTGCCTTGAGGAAAAAAATCCGAAACGGGCCTCAAATGGCCATTGGAAAATACCTGGGCAGGGAACAAGTTCAAGAGTCAGGACTCCGAGCCTTCCCCAGGCCCCAGGCTAGAACCCATTTCCCTGTGTCATATGGAAATATTTCTGACCTGTGGGAAAGGGGGCTGTAGAGCCAATTGCATAACAAAAGCAGAATGAAACAAAGAAACAGAAAGTCCCTTGTGAGAACAGAAAGGTCTCTCCCTCAGAGGAGAGAGTTCAGGGCTCTGAGACAAAGAATCTAGAGGCCAAGGTCTTTAAATGTTCTCAAGGTCGCAGCATTGAGGAGCAGGTAGGGGGGCTACCTAACATCATAATATATATGTGTGTATGTACATATATATACATACACACATATATATATATATATACACACACATATATATATACACACATATATATATATATATATACGTTTTCCACTCCTCATCTACTGTAAAGTGTCTGACAGTAAGGAAATGGTCCATGTTGATCAAGTCTGTGAGCTTGTCTTCAACCCAGGACAGCTTGTGTGTCTCCAGGAAAAAGGAGCTTCAGGGAGAGCGTCCAGGATCAGCTGTCCTCGCATCACCCCCAGAGATACCAGTGGGAGCATCCTTTCCTAGCCTAAAGCTCCTGCAGAGTGTGAGATTTCATGCAGGCTGGAGCCCCTGACAACGTCCACCACCTGTTGCATAGCATCTGTCAGCCTTTTCTTCACAGCTAGTGAGCTAGGCAGACCCCAAGGCTCCTCAGTCAGCTGCCTGCTGAGAAGCCAGAGGCGCCACAGAGGACACAACACTCCCATGAGTCAGGGAGGAAAGAAAGCTGGGTTTCAAGATTTCCAAGAATGCAAGGCCTTATTGTGTGTGCACTGGCTGCCATGCATTCTGGGATCTACAGTTCCGACCATCCTGCTATAACCAAAATGTGCAAATTACTAAAGGGGAAAGGGAGGTTAAAAAATAAACTTGTGTCTTGCTTTTTGGTCAGTTAGTAGCCACTGAGGTACGCAATTCTTTTCTGCAATTGTTGCTGCCGGCACCGCAGCTGCCTTTTCTCCGTAGCCATCCTCTTCTCAGCCCCCACCAGGGCTTGCAAGTATTCCAAAGCCTTGCTTAGGATCACTACTTTGGGGGCCTTAGAGCAGCTGGCCAGGGTGGGTACCTGGTCCCGCAGGGCCAAGAACCGTGACCGGAGGTCGTTCCGCCTTTTGCGCTCTAAGAAGTTATGGTTCTTCCTCTTGGTCACATCCTCAGAATCAGAACTGACAGGTTTGGGGTGGCAGGACTGGGAAGCCTCACTTTCTACTGGTGGGGCACTCACGAGCTCTTCACCCTCCTTGTCCTCCTTCCCCTGGGGAGTGTCTCTATCCAGAGTCTCTTCCTGGGGACCTGTCTCTGGAGCCTCCTCTTGGGAACAACTTTCTGGAGGAAAACGGGCCGCATAGTTGTGCTGTTGCTGATGAATGGAGATGTGGAAGTGTTTCATGCAGGGGTCCAGAGGATCTGCTCGCACGGTGATGGTGACTGGCTTCCGTATACCCAGAGACTGTCTCTTCTCCACCGTCACAACATCTATTTCTTCACCCTCTGTCCAAGAGAGATGAAGAAACATATCCATGAGAGAAACACATCCATAAACCCTACAGCTGATTCATTTGCACTAGAGTAATGGCAGAGTGAAGAGGAGATACAACCCAGAAGGAAGATATTCTCCGACTTCCTTTTGCACAGCAAGGCCTAGATAAGAACAAAAGGCAGACCCAAGCCAACGGCCCCCAGTTTGCACAGGCTCTCCCCTCCCCCACTGAGAGGATGGAGAGAAAGAGCTATCGGTCTGGGACAAAGTTTAGCTATAAAGATCTTCCCCAGTCGGGCTCTTTCATGCCCCATCAGAATTGTAAATGAGGGGTGTGTGGGCGGAACTGCCCTTTGTTCCTGCCCAGCACAGCCTGCACTTGGGAATTGTTACTTTTCACAAGTTATAAATCCTATTATTCCCCCACCTCTCTATTCTGCCATCCTTTCAGCTGAAGATGCAGAGAAGGGAGGGCAACAACCAGCCTTCCTCACCCACAGAGGGGAGGCCGAAGGGTTTCCCTTAGGAGCATTTTTGCTCCTGGGTTCAATGGGTTTCTAAAGTCATCCATCATTTATAGTTCGCCTGCTCCACCCCCTTCCCTGGACCAGAAGAGGGTTGGATTTGAAATCACAGCTGAATCTTACAGCTGCAAGCTGCGGGAACTTCACAAAGGTATAAGCGACCATTCCCAAGTTACCTGCAACACAGACAGAGACTGAGGAGCACGAGAATAACCCTGACACAAGAGCCAAAACATCAGGGACCAGGAGAGACCTGCTTGTATCTCTACCATTCCCTGGCTTGAATGTATTAGAATAACCCAATCAGGGAAGAAGCAATTAGAGAAAAACCCTTCTGACTCCATAATTTTGCAGCCCCCATAGAGAAGGCCACCTTCATGCATTCTGGCCTGACAACAGAGGAGCTGGTTCTCAGCCTCTTTTGCATATCAGGAAGCTTAAGCCCCTTTGTCAGGAAGGTTTCCATTGTGTGGACAATCGCATTATTTCTCCATTAATAAAACCTGACCATTCAAACCCTCCTGGCCCCAAAGCCTGTGATTGGCTGGCTAAAGCTGTATTTGGAATGCTGTTTTACCCAGTCCCTAGCCCCTACTGGCTGAGCTCGGCTGTCAGTCACACTCTCCACCCCCCCACACCATTGTTTGCAATCTGTTGCATTTTGTTCTAGGCCATGTGGCCAGAGAGTAAACCAGGAGACCAAAAACAGGTTCAGGTTAAAGGGCAGGTCAAAAAATAATTCAGGAGCCTTCCTTATATCCCAAGCCTTTAATTTTCAGCATTCAATTTCATAGCCAGTAAGGCTCTATCTAAGGAAGAAATCATTTAAGACACCATTCTCTTCAGAGAATACTGTCTGCCTCTGCCCAGATAAAGAAATGTCTCAGCAAGACAATCAAATTTAGTTCCCTCATTTGCAGAGAGAGAAACTGAGGACCAGATCAGCTGCATCCCCAAATCACCTCTGTAATGTTCTGGATCTAAAACTAAACTTACAAACTTCCAAAACAATGTTCTTTCTACTCTACAATTTGACCAGCCTTTGTAGACACATCTTTATTGGTTTCTTGATCTCAAGATTCCTTTCCCAGCCATTGAACAAACACAAACTCTTGTACAGAGAAAGTAAGTTAAAAACAACCTTAACACAGATAATCGAAAAAAGTGACTTTTAATTTTTGTTATCCTAATTTTCCCCATTATATGACAACTTCCAAGCCCCATTCCCTAGTTCCCTCTCAAATGCTCATGTAAGTTATTCTTTAAAACTACAGTGAGTTTTCTCTGTCCTGATTTATATGCTGATAGCCTCAAGTCTGCAACCTACAAGAGCATTGTCTCCAGAACTTTTCATGGGTGTAGAGGTCTAAGAGGTTGAGGTAAGAACAACACAGTCTGGTAGCACTTGATGCTCCGGTCTGTCCTTGGTGAGGTCTGCACTTGGGTCAAGGATGGGGGAGGAAACCTGGAGCTCTGTGACTATGACCCCAATACCTTGCCCAGAGGTTGGCACAAAGTAGGGGCCACTGGACATTTGTTGAATGCATGGGAGCAGCTGAAGCCCACAGATGTATTAGAAGGGAGCTAAGACACCTTCTACCTACGTCTAAAGCAGCACTTGAGGTGTTGCCCTTCTCAGATAGGCTACCAGGAAGATTCTGTAAACATCAAGAAAGAGGTGTCTGATTTGGGTGAAGGGCTGGAAAAAGAAACTGGCTAGATGGCAGGAAGCTGGGGCTCATGCCTAGTGATTTCCTATCTGTAAGCCTCAGTTTTTATATTTGTTAAAAGGAAGCATTTATTCCTCCCCTACCTGTCTCACAGGTGATGATGAGAATGTCCAAGTGGTAAGGAGTAGGCAGGGTTTGCAAGGGGAGAGAATTATTGGCATTTTAAAGTAAAGTAGGCAGGAGACCTAGGTTTTTTACAGGATGAAGGCTTTGGCTTTGCACAAAAGGCTCCTAAGCTTCTCTTCTCCCCAGGGGAGTGTGAGTTTCCCGGTGAAAAAGGCAGCAACAAAAAAGCTTCAAGCTTGGAGTGACTGTTAAGAGACCCCTTCCAACCTCCCAAGGACAGAAATCCCCTACAGTCCAACTGGAGTATTGTCCTCTCTAAGCGCCAACCCTCACCAAGTCTCCCTTGTCCCCTGGGGCTCCAATCATCATCAGAGGGACGCTGGCTCCCTCCCCACTTCTCCAAACTGTTTACCAACACGCCCACGTGCCAGACAGACACGGCTAGGGGCGACACTGGCAGCTTCCGCCAGAAAACGGGGAGATGACGGAAAGGCTTGAGAAGACCCAGTGCCTGACCTTAGACTGCGTTACAGCTTTGGCCACCCGTGAGGGTGCCCCCCTCTTAGGTGGTCCGGGGCGGTCCTTACCCGAGTCGCTTGGGCTCTCGGACCCCGAGCAGGCCTGGGTCTTGGGTTCACCCAGCTGACAGGGGGTGGGAGGCACCGAATTGCCGACTTCCAGGCTGGGAGTGCAGTCTGGGGTGGCGGGCGCTTTGGGCGGATTCCCCCGGGGCGCGCCAGGAGCGAGCCGGTCGCTCACCGCTCTCTCGAGCCGTTCCCGAGCGGAGAAGCCGCTCCACATGCAGTCACGGCGGATGATGGAAGCGTAGTTCCTGCCCCAAACTTTCGAGTGGCCCCGAGGTTCCGCCTCATCTCCTCCGGGCCACGGCTCTGGGGGACCAACCCCAGGGGCTGGGTCTCCGGCGCCAGGACCTGAGCCCCAGGGCGGCGACGTGGGGGGCGACGGCACCAGCTCAAATTTCTTCCAGATGTCCTCGCTGGGCGCCGTGGAGCGGTAGAAATCCTCCCCGCAGTCATAGTCGTAGAAATAGTGCTGGTACGAATCGAAGTCCATGTCCGCTCCCTGCGGGACGGAAGCGGGGACGTGATGACTGGGGTGGCCAGCCGAGGGAAGAGGCGACTCCGAATCCCTCGGCGCCGTCGGGCTCTTGTCCCTCCCCAATCCTACCAGCTTGCAGCCCGCGCCCTGCCCTCCGGTCCCAGGAAGCCTGGCCCAGGGTCAGAGCGCCTAGGGAAGCCGCTCACAGTGCGCGGACCAAGCTGCAGGGAGCGAGTTCAAAGCAAACTTTGCCAGCACCGCCCGGAGCGCAGCTCCCGGGGCCCGGCTGGGCCTGGCGGGGGCGCAGTGTGCTCATACGGCAGCCTACAGCCTGCTCGCCCCCCATCCCCACACTCCCCCCGCCCCGGGACCCAAGCCCGTGCGCGGGCCACCCGCAGCCTCACCTCGCTCCCGCCGCCCACCACCTGGAGCGGACCGGCTCCCCGCCGGCTCGGGGCAGCCCGGCAGCCCGCACACACACACATGCGCGCCACCGAGCGCGCGGCCCGCATTCACGAACGCGCCCTCCGCGCGCGCGGCCCCTGTCTTGCTCGCGCACGTCGGTCCGGTCGCTCCCAGGATCGGCGCGGGAGCGCGAGCTGCAGGCGCATTGTTTCCCGGCTGCCTTATATCTCGTCGCGCGCCCTGGGCTTGGGGACCCGGGGGTGGGCCCTATGGGACAAGCCCCACCCTCGTTCCGCCCCCTCTCAGCAGTCGACAGGTGGGGCGGGTCACACCTCCTGGCTGTGCTCTTCGCCTCTAGTCTATCCCTTGTAGCACCCCCCCAAATAAATTGCCCGCTGGGGAGCGCAGAACAGGAGGGGAGCTCATGTAAACCCGCGGTCGCCTGGCAGAGGCGTGACTCTTCAGAGAGGCGCCAGAGATCCTCAGCTGGCCCAACTGAAGCCGCGCTCCTGGCGCGGGGCTACTCCCCACCCACTCTGCGAGCCTACCTCCCCCAGCGTGTCCCGTTGGGTTCAGGTGCATCTGCCCCGGGGCTGGGACTTAGGGAACTGCACCTCCACCGCGCCACCTGGCGGCCCTCAACCCTGAACTGGAGCCCGCCCCGGCTTCACTTCATCAACCGTTGGCCATTTCTTGAGCTCAGTGGCCCAAACCCGAAAAGCAGTGAAGCAAAGGGATAAAGATTCCCGTCTTTTTTTGTGTGTAGTACTGGGGCTTGAACTCAGAGCCTGCACCTCGAGCCCCTTCACAAGCCCTTTTTTGTGTTGGGTATTTTCAAGATAGTGTCTTGTGAACTATTTGCCGGGGCTGGCTTGGAACTACGATCCTTCTGATCTCTGTCCCTGAGTAGCAAGGATTCTAGCCGTGAACCACGGGCGCCCGGCAAGGTTCCCGTCTTTGAAGCCTGCAACATAGCTTGTCTGAGCCTCGATTTCACTTGTAAAATGAGGAGATGGTCACGCTCACCTCACAAGGTCGTTGGGAGAATTTAAGATACAGTACCTCCTAGGCAAGGAGACTGAGCTGGGGAGAGGCAAGCAGCACTGGCTTACCCTGGGGCTGGTAGTGAGGAGGGTATTTTTTCCCCAGGCAAGGTCAGGGTTGAGACCCAGTCTTCTCCCTCTCCCACCCCCACTCTTTCTAGTAGAGGAAAGAGAGTAGGGTCTAGGAGTCTGGAAACTTCGTTCAAGGCCATCTTTGCCACTGGCTAGCTGTGGGATCAAGTCCTTTGAAGCGTTGCCTAACGTCTGGCCAAAATGACCTCTGTGTCACCTTCGCAGATACTTTTGGAGAAAGAGGAAAGAGAATACTCTACAGCTTGAGATTTAGGCCCAAAGAAAGTAACTGAGGACAGAAGCCAATGCATCTAGAATCCTCCACCTGGCAATCAGGTCTGGTGTCTGTCTACTCCTGTCTGATTGCCTGCTGTCTCTCTCTTTCCCTCTCACCCTTGTGGTCTAAGAACCTCAAACTACTCCCTGTTGGCATCCCAACAGGCTCATGCCAGAAAGACAACCAGTTCCATGTGGTTGAAGCAGAGGACAGGGAGGTGTGAATTGATGTATGGGTTGGGATGAAGGCAAGGAAGACCGTTTTGGATTTGTTGGGTCACACTAGCTTTTATTGCTTTGTAACCACTGCACCTATAACAGCCTCTAGCAGACTTTTGTCTTACTGAGTGACTTACTGAGTCATCTAGTCAATCAGTTTTTATTGAGACAGCCTTGTATGCCCTGCTCTGTGCTGAATGGAAGGCCCAGAAAAGGTTCCAAGTTTGGTTGCAGCCCTGAGGCAGAGGACTGCCTTTTGGTGACTTGTGCACTGGTTCACAGATGTCTGGGGTGGTTGCAGCACCAGTCAGGGTTCTTGTTTGCAAATGACAGAAACAAACCTCAGATAAATTTAAACAGAAAATGAGTTTGTGGGGCGAATACGAGGTATGGAATTCGTGGGAGGTTGGGAATATATGCTTGGAGAATGGGTCTTCTTTATCTAGACTGGAGACCTAATCAGCAGACTCTTCCCTTGGTTTCATTGTTGTAGGTGATGTCTGGGGGGGCCACAGGAGGTGCCCTCACCTCCAAAAATAGGAAAAGGAATTAAATTGTTTTCTGAGAATTATATTGCTCCTTCACTTTGTATAGTTTTATTTAATGTCTTTGCACTCTTATTGCTTGACCCACTCCACCAGCCCTTTATTGTGATTTTTTTTTTTTTTTTGAGGTAGGGTCTCAGGAACTATTTGCTTGAACTGGCTTCAAACCTTGATCCTCCTGATCTCTGCCTCCTGGGTAGCTAGGATTACAGGTCTGAGCCACTGGTGCCAGGCTGTTTAATGTCTTTTTTAGCAGACTGTAAGCTCAATGAGGACAGGGGAAAATGTCTTGTTCATTACTGTAACTAACCCCAGGTCTCAGAACAGAGTCTGGCACAGCATGAGTATTTAGCAAATGTGTTGCCTGTTTGACTGAACACAAACCTCTAATGCTTTAACACAGAGATATGCCAGTGCATCCGGTGGAGTCAGAATAACTCCCTGGCCCAATCTAGACCATACCTGATTAAAAATATTAATGTAGTGAGGGCACAGTGGTGTGCACCTGTAATTGCAGACACTCAGGAACATGAGGCAGGTGTAACACTTGAGCCCAGGACTTTGAGACTTCCCTGAGCAACATAGAAAGACCCTGGTTTTTAGTTTTTTTTTAATTTTTTTATTTTTTAAATAGGAACTAATGTAGCTAAGAAAGCACCAATCAGGAGAGGCTGGGCAGCCAAGGAAGGCAGAGATCAAGGAGATCTGCCAAGGTAATCAACAGCAGTGTCCATCAAAGCATTCTCTGGAGACAAAAGTGCTGGTCTAGGAATAGGGTAGATTTTTTGAAGCCACCCAGCTCATCCCCCACCTTACTCCTGCTCTGGATCACCAACCAACTCTCTGAAAACCATTCTGTTCCCCCCCATAGATCCGCCCACAGGGAGAGAATGCGTTCACCCGCAAACAGAAAGATCCAGTCTGCTTCAAAGTCCTGCTTCTCCTTATAAATTAATGAATTGGCATCTGATTTGAAATATCAGTCTCATGAGCCTGGTTAATAGTGTCTGTTCTGTAGAGATGCAGCTGCTTTTAGGACTAACAACTGTGGTTTCTGAGCTAATGTCTGGACCTAGAATAAATTCACCAAGGTAACAAATGCTACTCTGGAGACATCCAAATTATCTGCAATTTTTTTAAATCTCCTTTATTTTTCTTAAAAAGACTTTTTGTCCATTGAGGTATTTTATTTGTATATATGTATTACATCCCTACAAAAAGAATCTCAGGATCTTCCCTCCTGTATGTTTTTGTCTTCGTGGTTCATGGTTCCAGCTGAGGTTACAGTACAGAGCAAACAAACTAATGGCTGGGAGCAGAGTCTTCTATTTTTCTAGGTCTTTAAATTGCACATTAAATCTAGGGTTGACCACTTCATGCCTGTGAAGGTCACAATTCCCCAGCTCTGTTGCCATCACTGGTTTCAAATCCAGCCATCTACCTATACCTCCATCACAGTTAGAAACTGGAGTACACTCTAAAAAGAACCTGGCATTATGAATGCTTTTTTTTTGTTGTTGTGGTATTAGGGTTTGAACTCAGGACCTCACATTTCCTAGGAAGGTGCTCTACCACTTGAGCCACTCCACCAGCCCTCGAATGTTCTTGAGAGTATTAGTGGGGACATTCATTTGCCCCATTATACCAGCATGGAAAGATGGCAGAAAGAACTAATACATTGTTTCTCTCAGTGCTGGGGATCCAGTCCAGGGCCTCACCCATGCATGCTAGGCAAATACTGCACCACTAAGCAACATCCCCAGCCCCTAAAACATATTTCAAATTATAATAACACATGTACATAGTTTTTTTTTTAATCAACTAGGCATATTATAAGTTTTGTTTTAAAAAAAATCAATATTTTGCCCTGCCTCCTCCACTTCCCATTCCCACTCCCCAAAATCAACTATTTTTAGTTGTTTGCTGTCCCTAATGTTTCTTTGCATTTTTTTTTTTTTGTTGTTGTTGTTTTGTTCTTTGTGGGACTGGGGTTTGAACTCAGGGCTTTATGCTTGCAAAGCAGGCGTTCTACCACCGGAGCCACACCTTCAGTCCATTTTGCTCCGGTGATTTTGGAGATGAGGGTCTTTTGAACTACTTGCCTTGAACCTTGATCCTCCTGATCTCAGCTTCCCATGTAGCTAGGATTACAGGTGTGAGCCACCGTGCCCACATTTTAAGTGATACAGATTTTCTTCCTGACATTTAAATTTCAATTGACATCTTAGAATGAAAGAAGATAACTTTGATATTTCCCTTCCCTATCCCCCACTTCCCTTACTCCCCAAGTAGAATTATAGTTCAATTTTAAAATAAATATTCAGTATTCACAGTATTTTGACTCTACAAGTATACTATAACTATATTTCTTTTCTTACACATTTTTTCAGAGTTAAATGGTCTCATTTTTCATCTTTTTAGATTTCTATGTATCTATTATGAATTTAACCCTACTAGAGCCACAAAGATCACTGCATATGGTCAAACACACCAGGTAATGTTACATTTTTTGTTTTCTTGGACTCATTCTTCTTGGAACCCTTTGTCTCTCTGTTCCAAATTGAACTTGAGTTTTCTGTTTGTTTGTTGAGACAAGGTCTCACTCTGTAGCCCAAGCTGGTTTGAAATTCATGATTCTCCTGCCTCAGCCTCCCAAGTGCTGGAATTATAGTGTGTGCCACCACACCTGAATTCATTTTGAACTTCTTGGTCTCTTGGCCTGCTGTACAATTGTCATCTTGCAACTTCCTTTCATTGTGATCTTGGAAGTCCCCTCTGCTACTCTCCTATGTGGGATCCCCTGTTTTCTGGAGTTCATTTCTTCCTCTTTCTTGGTTTGCTTCCTCAATTAGGTAAAGCACATTCTTGAGCACCTGCCTGAGAAAGTGTACTTGGAAAGTAAAAAAATATGAGACCTTGCATTTC